CACACTTTCGAATCGACTGAGAACTATTAAGTTTGAGTATTTACTTAAGTAATTTGATATTGTTTGTTCAAATTTTCGTTTGCATTTTAAGTTTTAAATCATTTTTAAGCTCATCTCGTTGGATGAACGGACTCGTTCAATACAGTATAGTTATTGCGTTAATTTCACATTAACAATGACTAATTTATTAGCATTGACTATGAAAACTCTCTGAAGCAATAAATGCTACCGGCCTAAAGCTCTTTTAATTTTTCGCGTCGACCGATCGTCGCGTGGCAACAAAATGAAGTGGCACTTGACGGGAAATAATTTATAAACTTCAGTTCCACGCCGATAAGAAATTAATTCAGAGCCAATGGCAACTAAAATGATGACATTAAATAACGTCAGAGCGGCGAAGCTCGTTTAACACTTCCACATGATCAATGATTCCCTATAACGGCGAGAGCAAATTCCTGTATGATCGAAGTAATCGATACAATTTCCCTTCTATTTACTATATTTTCATCGAATCTATTTTCCCAGAGTATTGACGAAGTAAAAGGAAATAAGTAAATGCTCAACATTACTGACTACATTTGACAGAGCGCAGTAAACGAATGGCGTCATGATAATATGAGTGACAAGATGAAGACATTTGCGAACCGCTGAATTTTAATTACAAAATAAAGTCTTGGATACAATTAAGATAACTGCAGCTCTGTTCAGGTACAGCCAGGAACCTTTCCACATTTGGACACATTGACTTATTTAAGATATTTTCCATCAGTTGAAAGTCATAGTAATTCATATGTCATGATTTTTAATGAACGATCACATGTATCGGCATACAGGAATTGGAAAAAAATACTTTCTTCCTCTCCGAATTCTCTTTAAAAACTATGCATCACAGGGTAGAGAAATGCCGGTAAAATCTTATACTCCAGAAACAACTGAAATCAAGTGGGGTAAATTCCACGATCAGCCGTTGCTCGGAGTTCGCAAATCATTGCTTTGCGAGGCGCGAGGTTGTTCACACGTGCCAGTTTACAGGCACGTAGGCTACATCCCAAGATTTATACATCGAAGACCAATACCCGAAGACCTTGAGAATAAATTGCATTACGCATCAGGCGAGAAGTTGCGAATGCACCTCATATGTTGCCTTTGGTGACATGAATAACGGTTCACGTCAGAACTAGTGGCCTAACTTCAGAGATCGCAATCTTGCTGAGAAATGAGATTATCTTGAATCAGGTCGCGGGAAGTTCGTTAGCAGACCAACAAGCTTCATAAATCTTGTCTGCTGGGACAAAAGCAACGCAAGTCGCAACGGACAAACATTACGGCGGCTGACAAACTCTATATTGTGTCACTATCTCCCGCTGGATTACCGGCCTTGTCACTAGCAGTCAACTTCCACGGCCGCGCTGAAGTTCCTGAACTGCAACGACTGCCCAACTTTTGAGGCTAAAGTGGCGTAGTTAAACTAACCTCGGGAGTTGCACAAAATTTAGTCAGTATTAATGACCCATACAAGTTGCAGAGAAGCTCCGAGTTTTCAAATTAGCCCGGCATGTGCAGTGATTTGCTCGCTTGATCGTCAAGAGACTCGTGTGGCACAAGGTCTCTTATTATGAATTCAATTATTTTTAATTAATACATTCATGCAGCTTTTGGACAACGAGGCGAAGTTTCTACAAGTTCATTTGAATTTTAAACGCGCACTTGATATGGACGCAAAATGAAAGAACATTTTAAGACGGAAAAGTCGCTATCATCGTGCAGGTTAGTTTCAACAAAATGAAGCAAGAAAAATATAGACCGACTGACAATAATTAGCTATGTTAATTTGCTCACCGTTATGACTTCAAAGTGTGGGATTTAGTTTGTCATAATGGATTCTCTGAAGGATGAAGAGAAGGTTAAAGATCTTACATTTTCCTGAATGAAATTGAAATCGTGTATTATGTCCACTGGAAAATTTCGTAACCTTTTGCAAAATTTTTATGACACTCATAAACCCATTTACATGACAGGAGTCTAACTTAATTCTCGCAAATTCTTTAGTTGACAAGCGTCGGACTGTTTAATTAACGATAGATATCCTTTAATTTTGGGATTTAATTAAATTTCACAAAAAATCTTCAACCAAAGTTAATTATAAATTGAGTAAATAACGTAACGTAATATCGTATCAATACTCCTCGATATGGATATAACGGTCAGAAAAATGCGTCCTAACCGTTACTATACTTGCAATGCCAAATAAGGCAAGCCGGATCTCATATATAATGACAATGGACGCCTGAAGCCGTCTCAGCCGCGGCCTCGGACGCCTAATGCCGCCTCAGCCGCGGCCTCGGACGCCTGGGCCCATACTTTCAAAACTCGCTAAGTGAACGTAAGTGCTTACGCTCTATTTTTTTGTCTATTAATGGTGGATTTTGCTTGAAAGGCCGTCAATGATTGGCGGATGAACTTACGATCTCTTAACTTTATAGTATAGGCCCTGGTGCCGTCGCAGCCGCGGTCTCGAACGCCTAATGCCGACTCAGGAGCGGTCTCGGACGCCTAATGCCGACTCAGGAGCGGTCTCGGACGCCTAATGCCGACTCAGGAGCGGTCTCGGACGCCTAATGCCGACTCAGCCGCGGTCTCGGACGCCTAATGCCGACTCAGCCACGGCCTCGGACGCCTAATACCGACTCAGCCGCAGCCTCGGACGCCTGCTGCCGTCTTTGCCGCGGCCTCGAACGCCTGCATGTCCACAGACGACACATAATCAACCACGGACGCCTGGTGTCTTCTTCATGTACAAGAAATTCGCAGGTCAACATAACGAGCGCCTTCTTGCATGAGCGATTTTCCAGGTAGTCGCAACACAACAGGTTTTTGCGTACCTAGAAACGCGGCCTTGAAACGACGACTTCCCGGCCTGACGGTGCGAGTCTCTAGTGAACAAAGCAAGCAGCATGAGGCACAAAGAAGCGGTGCTCTTGAAACGAATCAATTCATCAGACCGGATGCCAATAAATACTGGGTAAACTTTTTATTTTAAAAATTCAGGGGTTTACTAAATGAATCACTAACTTATTTGGTGCAACGTCATTCTACAGAAAAGCATAAATAATTTCTTGTATGCTCGAGTTTCTAGAAAATTGATGGAGATAAAGACTAGAATCCGATCTCATCCGCAAGCTCTGCCTCTTTCCAGACATAAGAACAAAGATGAGCCGCACGCTTTACTGCTCGGAACAGATCAACATCAAGGCTTTATTGCCCGTCCAGCCTCAGTTGATGAGCCTGCAGGCTGCGCTCCAGCCTCAGTTGAGGAGCCTGCAGTCTGCGCTCCAGCCTCAGTTGAGGAGCTTGCAGTCTGCGCTCCAGCCTCAGTTGAAGAGCCTGCAGTCTGCGCTCCAGCCTCAGTTGATGAGCCTGCAGTCTGCGCTCCAGCCTCAGTTGATGAGCCTGCAGTCTGCGCTCCAGCCTCAGTTGATGAGCCTGCAGTCTGCGCTCCAGCATTATTTGAGAGGTCCGCAGTCTGCGCTTTAAGATCAGCTGAGGGGTCCGAAGTCTGCGCTGCAGGATCAGTTGAAAGGATCACCCAAAATACTCTGTCGATCTTTTGCTACAACACGATAAAAAATGAACCAAAGACTCGGGATCAAAATCCGCACTTGCGGTGAAAATGTCAAGATTTGTCATGCAGGTTCAACGTCATCATTCATTTATAAATGTATGTCTCTGATTTACCCGTCAATATTATCATGAGGATATCAGACTGAGAATTTGCAGAAATTTATGCGCGGATAATTTTGCCTTTAAACAAAACGGTACCTGTGAGAAAATTTTATGTATCATGATAATTAACGGCTAAAGAAATTGTGGTTTTCTTTGCACAAATTTATGACCAAATTTTTACGCCTATAGATAACTAGGCATCTAAAAGAAGAAGGTCGTTTTTACCGCACTTTTCTTTAATTTCACTTTTTTGTTGTTTGTTTGTATGTCTGATAAAAATCTTATAATCGATATTTAACACGCTTCTACCAGTCCAATCGATCTGAAATTTCGCACATTTGCGTAAAGTCGGAGACAATGCATGAACCAATTGACATATTAAAGAATAATTCAAAAAATTATTTTTTTTTAATGTATGAAAATAAAATAAGAAATTCATTGTACATGTGTGCCGAAAAGAAGTGTGGTCTCTTTAAAAGTGTAAAACACCGGCCTCTTTAAAAGTATGGTCTTTAAAAAGTAATTAAAACGCATATTATTATAATGATAATTCGAGACTAATCTCAAGGGTGATCTTTTCCATACAAACTGAACTTCAAGGTCTCCACTGTAACATTTGCCCTGAGTTCGCTTAGGTCTCCACCACTTGTTTTATAAATTTTAATACATGCTTATTTCCTTGTTTTATTTTCCGCTAGTTTTCGTCTGATATTGAAGGAACGAGAGTCGCGAAGGTTCATCAGTTTCTTTAATTCTATGTTTCAGGAAGCAGGATTACTTACTCACTCAACACTTACTCACTTATTACCGATTCACTCATTAATTTTTCACTCATTAATTACTCACTCATTAATTCATCACTCATTAATTACTCACTCATTAATTACTCACTCAATAATTCCTCACTCAATAATTGCTCACTCATTATTTATTCACCCATTAATTACTTACTCACTTATTACCTACACACTCATTACTTACTTATGACCTAATCACTTATTACTTACACACATATTACCTGCTGCCGTATTATTACCCACGATTACTCACTATTACTATCACTTATTCACCCACTATGAATGAGCTCATTTGTATCTCTGTATCACGGATGTAATTACGCCCCCGGCCGCCCCACGCTATAACTCAAACAATACTCGGCTCATTCAGCGCCATTAGCGATGCAATTGAAGAGCGCCGAATAATACAGTAAAGGGAGCCACGCGCCGAACTCGCACAAATGAGGATAAATGCTTCACTAAAACTGCACCGGCTTAGTGATGCGAAATGCAGGGGGCCGAGCATTGCGTGGTGCTGGCTCGTGTTGTGGTGATTACCTTGCTGACAATGATGCTTTGAACGAAACTGAAGAGCCAGTAAGTGAAGAGCCAGCAAATGAAGAGCTAAAAACTGAGGGGCTAGAAACTGAAGAGCTAAAAACTGAGGGGCTAGAAACTGAAGAGCTAGAAACTGAGGGGCTAGAAACTGAAGAGCTAGAAACTGAGGGGCTAGAAACTGAAGAGCTAAAAACTGAGGGGCTAGAAACTGAAGAGCTAGAAACTGAGGGGCTAGAAACTGAAGAGCTAAAAACTGAGGGGCTAGAAACTGAAGAGCTAGAAACTGAGGGGCTAGAAACTGAAGAGCTAGAAACTGAGGGGCTAGAAACTGAAGAGCTAAAAACTGAGGGGCTAGAAACTGAAGAGCTAGAAACTGAGGGGCTAGAAACTGAAGAGCTAAAAACTGAGGGGCTAGAAACTGAATAGCAAGATAATGAAGAGCTAGAAACTGAATAGCAAGATAATGAAGAGCTAGAAACTGAATAGCGAGATAATGTAGAGCTAGAAACTGAATAGCAAGATAATGAAGAGCTAGAAAACTGAAGAGATTGGAAATGAAGAACTTGTGCGTGATGAGCTTGAAACTAGAGAGTTAGAAACTGAAGAGCCAGCAACTGAAATATTGCCCACTCAAAAGCTAAAAACTTGACAGTTGATAACAAATTTACTTAACATTTTACATTTACGCAAGAAATTAATGAAGCATTCAGTAAGATCACGCAAGGAAAAAGCATGAAAATTTATATTCGATTGCAATTTCACACGAAACTAAATATTCATGCCTGTGATGAATTTCACTTGCAAATATATTAAATTTTACTTACAAATATAGCTACAGATAGCGACCAGCTGACTTGTTATTGCAGCTCAGCTCCATTCCTGTAAGTCATGAATATTTAGATCCGAATTAACTGTTTTATACAAGTTGTGACAAAGTTTGCGAATTCAATACAATCCGTACGCCAAGGTTCGAACGCAAATGCGAACTATTAAAAATATTTTTCACTACACTCTGAAGTGTTCAGTTACTAATACAGCGAGTTAACGGAAGTAAGAGCAATGTGATGATAAGTTATGAGAGTGATAGTACAATAATATTAGCCGTACTCGTTTAAGCCATGCCTGGCACACACGTAGCATACGTATCACTAAGACAGGTTTGGGTCATTGCAGATGCTGTTCACGAGTTCCACCATAGCGGTCTACAGATCTCTACCAAGGATTCACTCAGATAAACGAATGGGTCATATTGTCCAAATAGTGACAAACTTTCTGCACCAGCCCTTTTACCGGTCCAAACTAAGTGAAGATGACCCACGTAAGTGCATCGTTTTCTAGACAAAGCCTCGCTCATTTCAACTAGAGTTGGAACATGCTGGTCGTACGGTTCACTTATTCATGCACAATATAAAACTAGAATATTCAAGGCCGTTGAAAACACTGCGTGAAAATCATCTACATTGTTGATTTTCACGCAATTAAGCAGCCACGGGATATTATTCTTGGTTCCCGAAGGCCTTTTACGCGAGTAAATATTCTGTTTAGGTCTTCGAGAATATCGGCCTCGTCAGGCATTATTGGGAGCCACATTAGGTATCGATCATGTCACTCCAGTGCAGTGTGTTAGCCTGATGGTGTAATTACTAGACGCGTAAGCGTCTGCCCTTTCCCTACCTCACCAGGCTATTCATCAAGTGCCAGCTTACTCCTAATTGAATATTTTATTCATCCAGAAACGGCATTTACCAACTCAACGACCTATGCGGCGCACTCATGAAGTGCTCCAAATATCGTGGCTAAACAAATATCCTTGTAAGACAAATGTCACGGGCATGTTACATGTAATTTTCATCCTCAATTCCAAGCAAGCCAACATACTTGACAAATAAGGCTTGAAGAGCCTTCAATTATTCCTAACTGCATAATCCGCTTATCTATTCATGGAAAGCTCACACAACCTTTAGATTTTGGGCATACCGAACGAGTGTGGCAAAAGATACTTTTTATGAACTTATAAGACTGAATATTCGATATTGTACTGAAATTATGTATTTTTATTAGTCATTAGCCATTTCATTGTATTTTTTTATTATACGTTATTTTAAATTTATCCTATTAATCATAATGCATTGATCGTCACAGCAATTCACTGGATGAAAGCGATATAGTGACGTCAACAGAGCAATAGGAATCAGCAAATCGACTCAAGCGATCTGAATATTTGGAAATAATTCATGCTTCATAAATTTTTATAATATTAACGAAGGAAAAAGTCATTCGCGATTAATTGGTGCCTTCGAGGTAAAATAATGAATGAAAATTGAGTCAAGTCATATCATACAAGAGATAGGGTAACATGGGGCAGCGAGCCCACTGCGGGTCACGGGCCCATAGCGGGTTTCTCGCTAAGTATGGCAGATATTGGTCCGTGTTCTCTACCGCCGGCCGACAGTTTCACTGGGATGAAGTGTATGGATTAACGTTTTGCTAAGTGTTTGCGTTATTAAGTTCTTTGCGAATAACTGTTTTAGTCCAGATAAAAAATTTTTTGCCGCTAAATAAAGTTTTTTTCGATTACTATAGATGAAGCTTTTGAAATTATTGTGAATTATTTTTTCAAAGTAATATTTATAGGGATAATTTTGAGACCAAGTTTAGACTATTAGCTTTTAAAATAAAATGTTGACACGATATAAATTGAAATGATACCTAGTGAGGCAAAGGGCCCACGCGTGTCACGGGGCAAAGCGCCCATGGTGAAGTCTTGTGTTATACATCATTAGATTTGTCTCAATGACCTTTTCAAACTATGACTAGCTTTTTGAATTACAAATTACACTTCATATTGCATGATTTTTTATTTGCCGCCTCAAGGCAGGTTGTTTCTAGTTATGCGTATTTATGACCACTTTTCGAGTTATTGGCTCTTGCCTCGCCAAAAGTTGATTTCAGTCACCTTTGAGCCAAAAGTTGATGAGACTTTTTATGGTGTTGGCTGAAATCACGATTAGGTACGATTTCTCTGGACATAATATCTGGATTATGGACGAAACTGGAACGAAGTTTTTTTCCGATCAACTAAATATATTTTTTCTAGTCAAGGATACATTTTTTCATGTCAAGGACGAATTTTTTATCGCAAGGATATATTTTCAAGTCAAGGATATATATTTTTATGTCAATGAAATATTTTTCTTCACGTCAGTGATAGATTTTTTAAGCCAAGAGTATATTTTTTCAAGTTAAGTATATGATTTTTGAGTTGTTAATGAATGAGTGAATGTCATATTTTTCATTGCATTTTCTTATTTTTAGCTGTAAAGTGTTGTTTTATCATTTTTAAACGAAAAATATGCATTTGTGGTAAAGGGACCATGGGTGGGCGCCTTGCCCCAAGCCCATGGGCCCATTGCCCCAGAGGGTGGGGCAATGGGCCCCGTTCGACACTTTTTACAAAACAGTGTTTCATTAAAAATTGAATGAACATATAGGCGTCTAATTCACATCATACATTTCTCATTAGTTGGAACTTTAAACAAAACAAAGAACCAACTCGTATCAATTGAAACTTCATCAAAAATTTAGTTTAAAAAAAGGGGAGACTGCCCTATACATGCCATGGACTCGAGACTGCCTCTCGATAAGAAATGCATGAGCCGATAAGTTATATACCTCCGTGGTGGACATGATTACTATTGTTAACAAAGACACAGAGAATAAGAGATTCCTTTCATCAATAAATATCACAACATATATCACGGTACGCGACCAGAAAGACGTAAATTATTATAATAGACCAGTATATATGCTCAATAACTCAACGAAAATTCTATTGACGACATTACACAGGTTGTGGCTCGATCGTAACGAACTCAATACGCAGCATTGCAGAGCATAAAGCTTTAGTGGTTATAAAAATTGTTGTAAATAAATCTTTTTTAATATATATAATAAATCAAAACTTGATGTGAAATAAATCTTTTTTACAACCCGCAATCATGAGATTATTTATCGACTGGAGCCTTCCCCCGAAAGAAACAGGGGTGTTGCTAAGCCATAGTTGTGTCTGTCCATTTCAATATTCGTTGCAGGCTTCGTGCATAACAATTGCCTCATTTAGAGCAACGACTTGTAGTCGGTCAACCATAGCTCTCTCCTGCAACTCCAGGTCAAAGGTCCATATGTATATGTACGGTCTCCATGACGACCAATTCTAGCGAACAAAATACATAGCTGCAACTCGCGCGACTATGTCATTGCCAAAAGGACTTATCAAGATCAATTTTAGGTGTCACTCTACTAATTTGAAGCGTGAAGGGATAAGTTCCTGCGGCCATATCCTGCAGATCCTTCAACATGTCAGTTATTTTCTATTCAAGCGCAGTATCGACTGCCACTCACACGTAACCATGTCGTGCGTCCAGACACGAATACATTTCACGTTCAGCCATTTCGTTGCTTCTGGCATGACTACAATTAACGTGTAGCCACGTTATGGCTTGACATGGCAACGCTAACGTGGCTTCATGACATGGCTGCCTGCTGATTACACTCACAAATTGCGTGACTGTGAAGCGTCATTGGATTATATTTAATTACAGCTCTGCGCCGCTGACACGAAGAATATCCAATTGACGATGTCGGGGCACACTCAAGAAATAAATTTACAAATAAAGCTGTTTGTGGCCCCTGACATTAACCTTTAATAACATGGTAAGATTATTGCTATCAAGGGAAGGATGAATAGAACCAAATAGAATAACAATAACAATAATTGAATTTAATAACAATATACCAAAATTGAATCCGTGCGTTTTCTTTAGGCCAATTATCACATTAAAATTTTTAATTTTGATCTATCGACATCCGTGTCTAGGAACCTCAGCAAACTCGTCACAAATTTGGAATTCGTGGTACCAATAAATTAACATGTAGAATGTAGAACTAACATGTAACAATAACTAACAGTAGAATGTAACATGAATTGTATAGGATATCAATAAAATATCTAGGATGAAAATAAAACTAACTAGGATAACAAATAAGCATTATTAGTTGAACCCCGTACCGATCTGATGGAATCATAAATCAGAAAAAATGAAGAGATTTCTTCTCGAGGTCGCGTCAGCGGTGACTTGAAAACAAAGTGAGAAATAAATTAACTTTTCAAAAATTTATTCAGCAATTTCAGCGAGCTCAGTGGTGCGTAATTATTATTATCATAAAGTGACAGATCATCAACTGATGTAAAATATTCTGGCGTAATTAACGCATTTTTCTTTTCCGATAAAATTGGGAGTAAGTAAAAAATTATGCATATAAATGTTGCACTATTTCTGGAAAGGATAACCTCAATGAATTTAGAGGCTTGTTAAATGTGGTAAAATAGGGAAAACTTTAGATAGTTAGTAAGCTATATTGCCATG